CCTCTCTTCTTCAAAGCTAGAATGACTTCAGTCACTGCTATGGGGCACCGTCGCCCCGCACTCAGAATGCCCTGGCACCTGTCCTATATGGGGAGCGCGGGACATGGCCCGCCACTTGCGCTGCCTGTTCGCGGGCTGTGGCTCAGTTGAGCGGTGTGCGCTGCAGTCCTGGGGTGCCAGTGATGTAAGGGAAAGGGAGCAGAGCTTAGGGGTACATTGGCGGGGCGTCACGGAGGGAGGGGTAGGCAGTGGGAGCAGGGCGGGAGATACAAAAGGGGCACGAGAGCAGGAGAGAGGGAAGGCGAGCGAACAAGCAGGGGTTAGATTTTCCCTCCATCTGGGAGAGGCTTGGTGGCCTCCGCGTACAGCCCACACACACTGAAGAGACTACTGTGAGGACGCTCGGAGTTCTCCAGGTGGAACCAGGATAGGAAGTAGCCCAGGACAGGGTTTCCCTGCGAGGAGTCCCTGTCAGCCAGACAGGAGCATGTTTGAACCTGTCTTCAGGACCCTGGGCTGGGATCTGTGAGAGAGGGTGGGTCCAGGTCCCCTAAACCCGCCTGCCAAAAGTGGGTACAAGTAGAAAGACTATTGGACAACCTAGGGGTTACACGAACTGCTGGAGGGGCAGAATAGACTGGGAAACCCACCAGCCGAGGAAAGTCGAGGGCCCAAGTGTGGCCCCTGCAGAGTGAAAGGTTACCCCCAACCTTTCACAGACATCTTTGCACACTTCTTGTGTCCCTATCTCCTAAAACATCTGTGTTTATTGAAGCCACAATATGGAACTCAGTGTTGTGCAGCCAACCTATAATTTGATCTTAATGGCTCTGTTGAGGTCAGAGATTGTTGTACTTTTGAGAGGTTTTGTTTTGTGTTAATGAAAAAACAGGTTTTTTCCCCTAAAGAAATAGTAGCCTTTGCAAAAACTTTCAGCAAAATTGTGCTCTGCCTGTTTTTTTCATAAGAGGCTATGATTTCCTCCTGCCTTTAATTGCTGCAGGAGAAGTAATTTGTCTTCGGTGCTCTGGAGTCGCTGAGCTCCTTCCTTTCTTTACCTGATGTTTCACTCCGGCAATATGCTTAATCAATGTTTGCTGAAGTTTATGGTCTAATGCTTACTGACAGCAGGTGCAGTAGTAGTAAATCACCATCTGCATAAAAATCGTCCTTAAATTCAGCCACATGCTGTTTTGCTGTAATTTTAGTAGACAGGTGATTTTTCATGGCACCTTTATAGGGCTCTTCCTCTTCCCCCACCACCATACCTGGCTCTGTTTTCCTACCTGCTGCTTTCAGAAGTTATGGCCTTTTTTTGAAGACCTAAGTGAGGTGCCACTTCTAGCATATCTATCTGTTTTTATTGTTTATGGGTGTAACTCCATCACAGTTGTCATCATGTCTAACTCTGATCTGTGTAGTAGGCGGTCACCCCACTCTGGGGTAATAAGAATTAAGCCCAACCTTTAGAGAGGGCTAGAGACAGCCCCAATCAAGGCCTCACTAAGCCTTGTAAGAAGGGTTCTGTAGAGGAGGACCATACAATCTTGATGCAGCTGTGGAGCAAGAGAGACTTGGCTGATTGGGTATGCCTCAGAGAGTACTTGAAGCAGAGAAGTGCTGGGGAAGGGCAGGCAGAGCGGGGGAGCTCTGCCCTGACCCGACCCAACTCCCAGGCTATGTCTAGACTACACTGATCTATCGGAAAAAGGTATGCAAATTGCGCTCCACAATTTGCATACCTTTTTCTGATTGTTTTTTCGGAAGAGGCTTTTCCGAAATTTGGCCTGTTTACACAGGGCCAAATTTTGGAAAAACCTTCTCTTTTGAAAGAGCCCTTCTTCCTCGTGGAAGGAGGAAGACAGGGCTTCCAAAAGAGCGCATCTGCTGTTCCGCAAAAAAACGCGGAAGAGCAGATACGTTCCTCATAGTGTAGACATAGCCCTAGACTGCAGTCCTGATCTGGAGGCCCGAGGGGTTCTAAGGCTGCTGAGGCAGCCAGGGCCTGAGAAAGCAGCAGAGCCATAACCCCTTGCCTATGATGAATGGCCATTTCAAACTGCAGTTTTCCCCTGAAGCGGGGATTAGTTAACAACTGGTCAGGGAGTCACTGAGGCAATGTGGGTCTAGAGGATTGGGATTCCCTAGGAGAGGAGGACCCCAGAGTGTTGGGGCAGTGCTGCAGGACAGTACCATAAAGGAAGTACAGTAGGCCAGGAGGGACATGGGACCTGAAATAGTGCAGAAGAAGATAGGTAACTAATGGTGAGACACCAGCCAATGGGGGATGCTCTAGGGCTGGAAGAGTGAATTCCCAGATAGACCAGCAGGAGGTGCCACATGGTGAGTGCTTGAACCCTTATATTCTGCTTTTAAAAAGTTGTGATGGGCTACTTTGAGCTGCTCTTTTTTTTGTGCTGTATGGATGAAGGAATGCCATAACTCTGCTTTGAAGGGATAAAATTTCCATCATGACAGGTAAAGATTTAGCTGTATAATGTCCACTAATATTAATGGAAGTATATATGTAAATCTCTATGCACCATGCTTGCAAACTTTCTACTAAGTCCTGCATCATTGGTGTAAGTACGGGGCAGAAAAAAATCAGCTCAACTGTTTCTGTAGCTGACATTTTCCATGTTCCATGTTGCCTGTCTTGCTAGTGCTTCAAGTTCACAGTGTTTTCCCAGCCACTACTAATAGTCCACCACTTTATTTCTGAAACAACAGTGAAAGACTTGATTTCTGTTAGCTAAAAGGGACCATTCATGCAGCCCATTCACTAGCCTAGGTTGCTCATTACTGGAATAAACAGAAGAGACAAAGAAAAGGCAAGAGGAGAAACAGCCACAGAGCAGAGACATCGCTTACCCCATGTCATACAGTGGATCAATGGTAGAACCTGGACAAGAACTTGATTGCCAGTGAAGTATGCTAGAAAGTGGTGGGGGTTGAGCTTACCTTTTATTAGATCAGTTTCTTTGTTTTTTAAAAAAGCTCCGTGTAGACTCCAAAGCTGGTCTTTCTCACCAACAGAAATGGCTCCAATAAAAGATATTATTTCACCCATCTTGTTTCTGGGACAAACACAGCTACATCAACACTGCATACGATAGTGAAGTAGCCTCTCTACAGGAACATGCTATCTCTTAAAATTGTGCTTTGTTTTATTAAACTGCTTGTTGATGCACTTCCAGGAAGAGCAGGGATAGTAAAATCTAAGAAGATTCAAGAAAACACCTAAAAGGAAAGCTACATAGGAACACACAAAACTGAGTAAAAATGATTAAGTACAGCATGAAGGCCACAAAGAATCCATGTGAATATGAAATACCAAACGATAAATGTTCAAAATTAAATAGAACACAAAGAGACACTATTTACTATTTTTGATTGCAAACCTTGTAAATTTACTCTTGAAAATCTATCTGAAGATCAAATAAAGCAGCTTAAGATGAGCTAAGAAAAATTTTATACAAGCTGATTCAAAGACAAAATGTAAAGGTAAATAATTAAAGTGAGCCATGTGAGAAGAATCTTAAAGCAAGACGTCACTGAGCCAATAGAAACTCAAGATCAATTGTGCCTGTACATCAAAGGCAAGCTGCAGTACAGTGAGAGAGAATTCTAGGAGGAAATGTACTAGAATATTATCTACTAGAAGATTTACCTAGCATAGCTTGGTTCCTTACCTCAATTAATTTTTGGTTACTGAAAAATAAAAGGAAAATGTACATGCTTCATTTGAACCATTGCTTTGGGGTGGGTCTGAGAATGTGGGGTTCAGAATGCATGGACTACTCCAGCCCTCTCTCACTGCAGCAGCTTGGGGCCAGGTGGAAATACCTCTCCATGGCCATTGCAGCTCCAGTGGGCACAGACAGGGGAGGAGTGCATGTCCTCCACTTGTGGGCAGGTCCAAGTTTATCTGCCCCCATCCCCTGTGCTTCTCAGCCAGAGTGAGGAATGCAGCAAACTGGGCACTTTTTCCTTACTCCTAGATGAAGGGGAACAGCCTGCAATGTTCCCGTATGAACTGGGGGGAAGGGGAGCTTCATCCCCCTTGCCTTCCCTAAAGGACACCGGGGGGTTGTAGGCTCAGAGCTGGGTCAGTCCTCGAGAGGTGGGTGCCCTCAGCCATCCTCTTTCACGTGCTTGGTGATTCTGTCTCTTTTCTGTATGGTTTTCTGAAAAGCAATCCTATTCCAGGCACATCCCATTTTCCTAGCATGACCAAACCCTGACTAGCTTTAAGTTATAATAAGAGGAAGCTGTATACTGAATTTGGTGGTCCTCGCTCTTACCATTTAGGAGCAGTTCTTGAACAATCTGACAGAAGACAAACTCTATCACATATATAGATTACAGGGTAACTGCATCATATGTCTGAGAAAAATGAGACACTTTGCTCCACTATGATTACCAAAAATCTTTTGCGTAAAAGATCAGCGTTTCTGAGGGCAATGTCGACTTAAGGTACGCAACTCCAGCTATGTGAATAGTGTAGATGGAGTCAGCGTACCTTTTAGGAGTTGCCACGAGGTCTCCATTGCAGTGAGGTCAACAGGAAAAAAACTCCTGTTGACTCCCCTTATACTTCTCATTGCAGTGGAGTACCAGAGTCAACAAGAGTATGATCAGTGGTCGATTTAGTGAGTCTTTATTCACTCATCTCCTGGTAATCTCCCTAGTCTTTCCATGTGTCACATCAGCTGGGAAAAGCCCACACCAACAATGATTTTTTTTTCCTGTGTCAGCACAGATGAGGAAGAGGCATCTCCCCAGGAGAGTGTGTGATGAGGTGTATCAACTCTGCACTGGACTGGCAAGGGTTAACCATGGTTACCTGGCTGAGAGAGCTCCGCCCCACAATGCTGCTGGGCATGCTCCAGCTGGAGACTCGCTATAAAGCTGATGGAACAGCTCAGTCAGGACTGAATGCCACTGGGGAAAGAAGTGCTGCCAGAGCGCTGGAGGAAGAACTGTGGACCAAAGAAACTGCAGAGACTAGTCAGCAAGGAATGGACAGAGAAGCCCCCAGTCTGGACGAATGTGGCGGAGAAGACAGCAACAGTGAGTCTGGTAGGAAGTAGCCCAGGGTGGAAAGTTACATTCCCTGAGAACTCAGCGTGTTTGGGGTGGATTCACTGCTGAGTCCACTCCACTGCTCACAGGGCCCTGGGCTGGAACCTGGTGGAGACGGTGGGTCTGGGTTCCACTACCCCATCCCCAATAACCCCAAAGGGGCTGTGTGCTACACCTGTTGACTGTGACTCTGGCTGCTAGGCCCCACTGCCCTGAAGGCAGGGATTGTTGTTACTGACTGTGGCTGCTAGGCCTCACTGCCCTTAGGGAAGGGAGTATTATTATTGATTCTGGCTGCTAGGTCCTGCTGTTAGGATTTTCCATTGATCAGCCAATAAGCGGGGGAGTTGCAGCGGGGTTAGCTCCCGGCCCTGGTAGGCTCTGAAGAGCCAGTAGGCTCTTAAAACATTTAAAAGGGTGAAGTGCAGCAGGGGTCCCCTCCCCCACCGCTGTGCACCAGCCTTTTAAATGTATTAAGAGCCGGTGCGCAGTGGGAGTGGGGACCCGGCATGAGCCAGGACAGCTGATTCCCAGCTGGCGCTGGGTCCCCACTATTGCACTTTAGCCTTTTAAGCATATTAAGAGCCTGCCAACTCTTAATACATTTAAAAGGCTGAAGTGCAGCGTCTGGGACTAGCTGTGAGCCAATAATCAGCTGCTTTCTGGCTTGTGCCCAGTCCCCCTACCCACCTGCTTCCCACAGTCGGTGCTGTGGGAACCAGCTTTTAAGCTGGCTCCCCTCAGCACCAGCTCATGCTCCCTCCACCTTGCTGCCTCTGATAGCTGGGGAAGGGGCACTTCTCCCTTAGCTACAGCGGCAGCTCCCTGCTGAGGACAGAGCAGCAAGTCTCCCCCACCCAAGAAGTGCCCCTCCCCCAGCGAGGCAGCTCCGTGCATGGAAGTCCTGAGCCCCTGGACCAGGCTCATTAAGCAACTATGGGTAGTTGCTCCTTCTCCACACAGCTTAGAAGGAACCTTGGTCCCAGGATATTTTGACACAACCACTTTCATACTCTAAAAATATTTCCTGTATTTTTCTTCCCTCGTTTTTATTACAAATATTTGCATGAAAACAGGAGAGCTGATTAAGATTTTGCTCAGGCCCGCTACTTATCATTAACTTGAAGTCATGAAATATTCTGTTTGGGACATCAAACCTATCCACAGCAACTAAATGTGGTGGAAGTGTATGATTTCAAATAAGGAATAAATGAAAGGAGCAGAGTTCATGCAAATACAGGATCCCTAAATAATACAAATCAAATCAAGAGAAACACCGAAAAGTGACTGCTATTTAAATTATGCCATTCTACATTGTTTTCCACGAGAAAATCTGTTATAGTGATAACGATTAATACAGACATGTTTCTTAGATAACTATTGAAGCAAAAACTGTCTGCACACACAGCACTAGGGAAGATTAAAAGAAGAGGTCTGGTTAAACTGTAAGTAAGAATTTGAAATGTACTACTGTAGTTGTAGAGCTGCTTTTAAAAAGTCTCATTTGGTCAGTGTAGTCACAGGATGACATGTACTGTGAGATTCAAAAGCTAGGGCTTAAGAAAATAAACTGGCTAATGATGAGTAGGAAACTTCTACTAGTAAACTAGGGATAAGTAGGGTTCCCTAAGCCATCTTTTTTTTTTAATGCTATACAATTTAAATTTTCATGAAGAAAATGTCTATCCTTATGTGCTAAGTCAACCACCCTGCTTCAACAGGCTCATGATAGTGGTACCTATGGTAGAGTACTAAAAATAGCTATGTAGTTGGTGCATTTTGGGCTTTCAAGCACATCCAACCTTCCAGCTATTTTTAATGTGGTATGGCAGGGCCAGCTAGCACAAGTCTGACACTCCAGAGTAGTGATAGAAATGTAGCCGTGTTAGTCTAGGGTAGCATAGAAATGTAGCCGTGTTAGTCTGGTGTAGCTGAAGCAAAATACAGGACTATGTAGCACTTTAAAGACTAACAAGATGGTTTATTAGATGATGAGCTTTCGTGGGCCAGACCCACTTCCTCAGATCAAATAGTGGAAGAAAATAGTCATATGGTATATATGGTTGTGACTATTTTCTTCCACTATTTGATCTGAGGAAGTGGGTCTGGCCCACGAAAGCTCATCATCTAATAAACCATCTTGTTAGTCTTTAAAGTGCTACATAGTCCTGTATTTTGTTTCAACTCCAGAATAGGGGGTTCATACCCAGTTGCACAGGAGTCATTCCTCATGGTTGAAAAGATAATGAACAATGAGCTGAAGTGGGGTTGTCTTTGGCAGTGTTCCAGAGCTAGTTGTAACTAGGGTCCCTTCTCTGGTCTCCTGAGGGCCTTTACCTCCTTGCCATGTGTCATGGGCTGCACGTCTCACTGCTGGAGTAGCACCACCTGCTGGTCACTCTGGGTATTAGGTTGAGGCCCTCACCCCCCTCCCCACTCTGGACTTTGTCTCAGCTTCAGTTTACAGTTGCAGTGGTCCCCAACATGGTGCTTGCGGGTGCCATGGCGCCTGCCGGGGCATTTATGTGCGCCCGCCGAGTGACCAGGGCCGGCCCAAGCCATTCTTGTGCCCCAAGCCCCAGGCCAGTGCCGGCTCAAGCCATTCCTGCGCTCCGGGCAGTGGGTGCGTGACGCATGCGTGGCTTCGCCTCCGGATGAACGGTGCATGCGCAGCCCCACTTCCCAGTGCGCTGCTCACCTTACAGCTGCCATCAGGCACCTCCCCATTGATTGGTGCCCCGGGCAGCTGCCCAGCTAGTCCCCCCCCTTAATTGGGCCTTGTGCGCGGCGCATGCACAGCCCTGCCCCCCGGGTGTGCAGTGCATGTGCGGCCCCGTCCCGGACGCGCGGCGCATGTGTGGCCCCACCCTAGACACACGACAGTGCCAAAAGGTTGGGGACCACTGGCTTACAGCCACTCTTTCGACTTCCGTTACAACAGCATCCTCTTCATAATCTAACGTTCTGGTTATGGTCGACTCTGCCCAACAGTCCAGCCATTTCACCAAGGCCTGCCCACTACTCCAGGTCCCAACCTAGGAACCCTGTAAATAGCACCTCTTTTTCTTTCAATCCTGTTATATTTTTCCCGTTATATGTTTTCCCATAGCGCTGGTACTCTTTGCCCTCAAGTGCTCAGTCCTGGTAGCTTGCCTGGTCTCTCCTGGTCCCCCAGTCCTGGTCCCTGACAGCAGCTGCTTTGTGCAAAGTGCTTACCATTCTATCAGCCTTCCATGGACATAGATCTCATTCCCAGCAGAAACTGATCCTGCAGCTTCCTTTTATCTGAGCCTGCAGGGCCTGGATTGGATGCTCCCTGCAACTCTTTCCTGATTGGCTTGCTTCATGCAGCTGCTCTGGGCTGTTTACCTCCATAGCTCCTTCCAGGCCATGTCATGATTAACCCTTTCTATGTCTAGGTGGGGTAGTCACTCCATCACAGGGCAGAATCATCCAATTCTCTCGCTTTCATACCAAATCCCAGATTACAGCACCCTGTGGATCAACCTTGCTTACCCCAATAGGTCCAGCTGGGCTTGGGTACCTGTGGTTCTTCCCTGCAGGGGTCTTGTGATTCAAGATGCAAAACACCTTTTTAAAAATATTGTTTAATTGTCACAAAGGAGAACAGAAAAAAGGTTGTTTTTTTAAAAATGCCCATGTAGTTGATCTGTAGCCTTATTTTACTCCAGACCTCTAATCCAGTCTGTTTTTCCAACAGTCTTTGTATCTCTGTCCTTGAGGAACTGTCCCTTTGAATTCAGCCAATGTCTTTGTTCTTCTGTGATTTCTGAGACTGGTTTAATCAGTATGGGCAGCACAGCAGAATGGGATAACATAACCAGGTAAACTGACCCATAAAGGCCTGAGGCAGTCAGCCATGTTCAATTATCAAACTCAGCCAGGCCCACTGATGGGATGGTGGCTGGAGGGCTGGACTCTTTACATTGTCACCAGAGCCCTATGCGGCGTGCTCTGGGGGGCACTGAAAGATTGGGGAAGGGGCTGTTGTGCAGTGAGGACCTGTTGGTGCTGAAGGCTGGCTGCCCCAGCCCTGCCCCTTCTGCCCAAGGCTCTGTCCCTTCTAGGAGTACAGAGCCAGCCTCTTTTTGCCCAGGGGCGCAACAATTCTGTCGGCCCCCCTGAACTCAGAAAGGAAAGGGTTGGGTGATCCCTATAATGAGTTGAGAGATCCCAGCTGACACGGGGCTCCCTCCTTGGACTATCCCTGGGGAAGAGTGAAAGGGCAAGTAGCCTGCTCTAGTTGTGAGTTTGGTATGACCTTGCAAGTTTTAGTTGGTGCTTTGGATGAAGGACCTGAAAGACTCTGGATGAGTCCTTTTCCAGAAAGTTTGGAGAATGGGAGCAGGCGATTGGTCCTGGAACTGAAGGGTAAGTTGAGGTAGTGGCTAGCTTGAAGGCAGACAGGTGAGGCAGGACTGGGATAGACGGTAACAGTCAAGTGACTAATCTTGAGTATTTGCTGAGAGGCTGTTCTTGGAACTATTGTCCTCGTTCCCTCCTGCAGTTCCAAACAATTGTGCTGCATGAGGTTGTAGTGCCACTCACTCATATTTGTACAGGATAGGTATAGAGATTCCAGGGTCACAGTTGCCAGGCTGCTGGGGCGGTGGTACCTACATTGCCACAACCCCACATTCTTTAAATGGTGCGCCACAGCCCCTACTTACAATCATCACCCTAACAGATAGAATATACAATATTTTTCAGTTATTGCAGATCAGCACCAAATCTTTCAGTCTTCCTGAGCCTGCAGACTCACATCTACAGCTCTTTTCAGCTTTCCAAAGCAAAGGCCACAGACCAAAGCAGACCAAACTCTAATTAGTTTCAAGTTAGTGTGCTGAATCCTGTCAATCTCACAAAACAGTCAATTTCATGCTTGGACAAGGGGCAAAGGTGAGACAAAGCACCTGTTGCCTTCATATAGATTTGGCAAACCCAAACTATATGACGGTGGGAGACGGTTGGGTGGTTGAGAACTCAGTTTTATCAGACACCTACTAACCAGAAGCTGATAGCAAAGATTCAGAGTCCAGGCACAATATCATGGTAGCACTGTTGATGCACTGTTTTCCTCAGAAGCACGAGAATCTCATCAAGGAGCAGGGAATCTCATCAAGGCTTTGCTCCTGACCCTTGGCAGTGCCACTTCAAAACATCTCTCATATATTCCTCTCTATCTAATTACTGGTTGATGTCTGGCAACTTTTGTCAGGTTATGTCTAAAGGTTCTTTTAGAGATAATGACTTTCCAATATAATTGAACTGTTTGAGTAGTAGAACTTAATTACATTTCTACAGTGAAAGTGTGCACTATTGGGATTCCAGTTATAATTCCTTAAGTAATTTATCTTCTAGATGAGATTTAAATGCAAATAACGGAACAAAATCTTGCACATACCAGTTCAAAATAGAAGGGCCTCATAGAAAATTAGATGCTCGACTAAAGCTGAAAAACATTTTCTTTCTCCTGGCTCACAAGACAACCTAAACCATTCTTTGGACCACTCAGGAAAGAGATAGAATCTTCCTCCTCCATGTCACTAGCCTGCATGCTGTCTCAGACAATGGTGATTTAATTGTTTTCAGCAGATAGCTCTCTGGTGGTCTCGCATTAATTACTTCTAATCCAGTAGTGCCTACAGGTCCCCACCCCATGAAGTTAAACATTGCATAGGTGGACACGGAGTAAAAAAGACTATGATGAGCCCAAAGAATTTGCAATCCAAGTGTATGATGGGAGATGACAAACAGATTTATACAGACAAGGGAAGCACCTGCTAACAGCAAGATGATTATGAATAGTGTGATAAGCAGTGGACACAGCTTCATTTCTAAGAGTGCGGGAGGTGAATTTTAATATTTCTGTGAAACAAGTTTGTGATCTTAGTAAGGATGTTTAATTGCATTTAATTGACTAGTCAAGTAGTCGATAGAATTTCCATTGACTACTCGACTAGTCAATAAGCACTTCTGCATTCCTCCTTTGAAATGTGCAAGAGCCCCCACGAGGGCTCTTGTGCATTTCAAAGCAGGCACGCTGCATGCAGCCCGGGGCCAGTGGGAAGTCCCACTGGCCCC